GGAGGAAATGGGCTGATAGCTTGTTTCGATGGACATCAGACAGACGTAATGGTAATCTTCAGACTCTATTGTGTAATGCCGAAATAAGGCCAAGATAATAACAATGTTATCCTGAAAGAAGGCAGACCCAGCCCTTGGTGGAATACTGTTATCTGGACACAGCTGGATCGGCTCAACTCTCAAAGGAAACAGGCAGACCAGAGAGAGGCTGCCTTTTCCCTTAAAGGACTGCTATCTGGCCAAAGGGAAAGGGTTATCCAGACAGAAATAACCCCTTTCAGACTGAGAGCACTTCGAGGATACAGGGCTGGGCCCAGCTTCAAATATGTTGCTTCTAGACTTCTTTTTGTATTGCTGAAAAGAGAGAGCAGGAACTGTACCAAGCAACCCTGCAGCCTATTATGCAATTGCCTTGAAACATCTTGCGAAAGAGTGGCAGCATGCCTCCACCTTGCAAAAGAAAAAGGAAACAGTTGAAAAGCACAAATGGAGGATTTATTGTTATTTTACTAAAGATATTTTTTACTCAGATCTTCTGCTTTTAAAAAGTTGCTCAAGATGACTAATAAGTAACAAAAACCGAAAGTATTATCAAATCAGTTTCTAAATCAACATATATATTGAAAAATTGCAATGCAAAGCACAGCAGCCAGATAGGAAATAAACCACAACATTATGAAATAATTCAACTTGCATTTCTTTCTAAAACACTGGGCAGAAGAAGAGGGAAAATGCCAAACACGGTGATTAAGGAAATATGGAAGGTTTCAAGCTGTGTTGTCGAAGGCTTTCATTGCCATAATCACTGGGTTGCTGTGAGTTTTCTGGGCTGTATGGCTATGTTCCAGAAGCATTCTCTCCTGACGTTTCACCCACATCTATGACAGGCGTCCTTAGAGGTTGTGAGGTCTGTTGGAAACTAGGCAAGTGAGCTTTATATATCTATGGAATGATGTCTGGGGTAGGAGAAAGGACTTTTGTCTGTTTGAGCCAAGTGTAAATGTTGCAATTGGCCACCTTGATTAGCATTGAATGGCCTTGCAGCTTCAAAGCCAGGCTGCTTCCTGAGGTGGCCAATTGCAACATTCACACTTGCCTCAAGCAGCCAAGATTATTTATCCTACCCTGCACATTCCATAGATATATAAACCTCACTTGCCTAGGTTCCAATAGACATCACAACCTCTGAGAATGCCTGCCATAGATGTCAGCAAAATGTCAGGAGAGAATGCTTCTGGAACGTGGCCACACAGCCCAGAAAACTCACAGCAACCCAGTTTCAAGCTGTGTCTATTATAGCTACTTTCATTATTTCAGTCATATAATTTGGCCTATCAGAATTTCTGTACTGGTTTCTGCAATAATGGGAGAAAGCATGATCTGTAGGTTATAGACACAGGCCCCTTCTGTACTGCCATATAAAATCCACGTTAAATGTTTTGAACTGGATTATATGGCAGTGTAGACATATATCACTGGCTGCCTGTTTGCTTCCTGGCGCAATTCAAAGTGCTGGCTTTAGCCTATAAAGCCCTACACGGTTTCTGTCCAACTTACCTATCCGAACGTATCTCTCCTTATGAACTATCTAGGACATTAAGATCTTCTGGGGAGGCCCTGCTCTCGCTCCCACCTTCTTCACAGGTGCGCCTGGCAGGGACGAGAGACAGGGCCTTCTCAGTGGTAGCCCCTCGACTGTGGAACGCCCTGCCTAGAGATATAAGATCAGCTCCCTCCTGACTTTTCGAAAAAAGGTGAAAACCTGTCTTTTTGAGCAGGCCTTCCCAAATACGGTTTTGCTAAATGGAATTATGGTAATACTTGATCACGATTTGACATGGAGATGCTCACGATAATGTTTTAAGGCGTTGTACGGTTTTTATATTTTTATATCATATGCTATTGTTTTAAACAGAATTTCTTGATTGTTTTTATTTCCTATAATTGTTGAGGCATCGAATTCTTGCCAATTTGTGAACTGCTCCGAGTCGCCTCTGGGCTGAGAGGGGTGGTATATTAATATAGTAATTAAGTAAGTAAATATAATCCAGTTCAAATCATATAATGTGGATTACCTGCTTTGATAATCTAAAAAAAATCGAGATTATATGACAGGCCCCAGTTTCAACAGTTGCACAATAGGATGCACTTTGCAATATTTTACGTCAACACCCTTGGCTGGCTTTAATGATGTTAGTATTCTTATGGAGTTCTGAAACGTTTTCTCCACAAGGCACTGTGAAAACTGTACATTTTATACAAACCCAGCAGACCAAGCAAGTATTTTTCTGATCTGTATAAATAAAAATGTAATGTTTGTTTGTGGGATTAACAGAACACAAAAACCACTGGGAGAATTGACACCAAATTTAAACAGCATACACCTATGTCCTTCACTCAAAAAATTTGAGTTTGTCATTTGGGAGTTGTAGTTGCTGGGATTTATAGTTCGCCTACAATCAAAGAGCATTCTGAACTCCACCAATGATGGAATTGAACCAAACGTGTCACACAGGACTCCCATAACCAACGGAAAACACTAGAAGACTTTAGTGGGCATTGACCTTGAGTTTGGGAGTTGTAGTTCACCTACATCCCGAGAGCACTGTGGACACAAACAATGATGGATCTGGACCAAACTTGGCACGAATATTCCATATGCCCAAATATGAACACAGATGGAGTTTGGAGGAAATAGACCTTGACATTTGGGAGTTGTAGTTACTGGGATTTATAGTTCACCTACAATGAAAGACCATTCTGAACCCCACCAACGACAGAATTGGGGCAGTTTTCCCACACAGAACCCTCATGACCAATAGAAAATACTTAAGGCCATCCAGTCCAACTCCCTTCACCAGGGCAAGAGAACTTAATCAAAGCCCTCCTGACAAAGAGCCATCCAGCCATAGATACAGATATATGTTTCACACACAGAGGGACATAGTATCATAGATTTGAAAGGGACCTCTAAAGAAGGACAATTATATGTTGCATATTCCAGAGTAGGCAAACCTGACAATCTCCACATCAACAAGAAGTACTGTTTACCTACAAGCATAAAGAAATCACATATATTAGAAACCTACAGTTTCTCAATACTTAATTTTCCAGATCACCAGACTGGGCCACAGCAATGCGTGGCAGGGGACAGCTAGTAAACAAATAAACCAAAACAACAAATGAATACTCAAAACAGCAATGAACACTCCTAATTTTCGGTCACTCTTGACAAATCATGAGATTCTTTTTATATACTGTTACAAACTAGACAAGGAAACAGTGCCCTCTTGTGATCACTGAGTGGAAAACATCAGGCAGGGGTTTTTTGATAGCTTTTTTTCCTGGCAAGCATCTACACCAGGCGAGGGCTAACTTGGGCCCTCCAGGTGTTTTGGACTTCAACTCCCACAATTCCTAACAGCCTGCCGGCTGTTAGGAATTGTGGGAGTTGAAGTCCAAAACACCTGGAGGGCCCAAGTTAGCCCAGCCTGGTATAGAAAGTATATGCAGTTTGATACCATTTTAACTGCCATGATTCAGTGCTATGGAATGATGGGACTTGTAGGCTCAAGGCCTTGTCAAACTGAAACTCCCATTGATTCCAAAGCACTGAGTCATGCTAGTTCAATTGGGGTCAAAATACAATGCAGAGACACCCAGAGTTTCCATATAGCACATCACCATTGGATGAAAGTGCTTGCTATCCCCGCTTGGGGGAGTGTTTCTACATGCAGAAGCCTTCCGCCATTAGTTCAAGCCTTGAGGCCATTCCGCAAATCTATTGGATGAAAAGAATAAAGCCCCTCCTCTAATTTGTGTTTTGCTTCTAAAGAAGGGCTGCTATTGGCCAGGAGGCGCGCGGGGGGCGTGTCCTGCCTATTTTGGGAACCGCCCCTTGTCTTCTGAAGTGAAGCCACGGTGCCCTTTCCTCCTCCAAGACAAGAAGGGCTCCTATTGGCCAAGAGGTGCGCGGGGGGCGTGTCCTGCCTATTTTGGGAAGAGCCCCTATCTTCTGAAGGGTGCAGAAGGAAAGCGTTCGAAGAGCTCCTATTGGTCAGGAGGTGCGGAGGGGGCGTGTCCTACACACTTGGGTTAGAGCTTCTGTCTCCTGAAGCGCGTTTTCCTCCTGAGCAGAAGGAAGGTATTCGAAGGGCTCCTATTGGCCAAGAGGTGAGCAGAGGGCGTGTCTTTCCCACTTTGGAAGAGCCCATTAAGAGTGCAGAAGGCGTTCGAAGGGCTCCTATTGGTCAGGAGGTTCGTGGTGGGCGTGTCTTTCCCACTTTGGGAAGAGCCCAGAAGAAAGCAACTCGGAGGGCTCCTATTGGCCAAGAGGTGCATGAGGGGCGTGTCCTGCCCACTTTGGGAAGAGCCCTGTAGTGTTTTTTTAAGCAGAAGGAAGGCATTGGAAGAGCTCCTATTGGTCAAGAGGTGCGCGGTGGGCGTATCTTTCCCACTTTAGGAAGAGCCCTGTCTTTTGAATAATGTAGAAAGAAGGCAGGAGGAACCTTGAGGGAGCTGGGGGTGGTAACGGCCGACAGGGAGCTCTGGCGTGGGCTGGTCCATGAGGTCACGAAGAGTCGGAGACGACTGAACGAATGAACAACAACAGAAAGAAGGCGTTCGAAGGACTCCTATTGGTCAGGAGGTGTGTGGTGGGCGTGTCTTTCCCCCTTTGGGAAGAGCCCAGAAGGAAGCAACTCGAAGGGCTCCTATTGGCCAAAAGGTGCACGAGGGGCGTGTCTGGGGGCGTGTCCTGGCCACTTTGGGAAGCGCCCTGTCTTCTGAACAGTGTTTTCCTCCTATGTAGAATGAAGGCCTTCGAAGGGCTCCTATTGGCTGGGAGGTGCACGAGGGGCGTGTCTGGGGGCGTGTCCTGCCCACTTTGGGAAGCGCTCTGTCTTCTGAAGAGTGTTTTCCTCCTGTGTAGAATGAAGGCCTTCGAAGGGCTCCTATTGGCTGGGAGGTGCGCGGGGGGCGTGTCCGAGGGCGTGTCCTACCCCTTCCGGGCCCATCCGCTGTCTCCCAGGCCGGGATCTCAGTCTGTGCGGGGATGTGGGCGCGGGCGCTGTTGCTGTGGGGAGCGGCCGTGGCCGTGGGCCTGTCTGCGGGGATCCCTCCGCACGAGGAGGCGGCGCGGGTGGCTCGCTTCGTGGCCCACTCGTGCGACTGGGCAGCGCTGGCGACGCTCTCGGCGCAGGAGCCCCCGATGCGGGGCCAGCCCTTCGCCAACGTCTTCTCGGTCAGCGACGGGCCCAAGGGGTCCCAGGGAAGCGGAGTGCCCTACATGTACCTCACGGCGCTGGAGGTCTCCGTGCGGGACTTGCAGGTGAGGAGGCCGCCTGCACTGTAGAATTAGCGCGGTTTGACACCGCCTTAACAGCCATGGCTCAATGCTTGTGGATCCTGGGATGTATGCTTTGGGGAGGCACCAGCTCTCTTTGTCAGAGAAGGCTAAACTGCAGCTCCCACAGCATTGAAACAAAGTGGTGTCAAAGGTGGAGCTGACCTGACTCCAAACCTGTTCCTGGGGCCAGAACTAGGGCCCTTCCACACAGCCCTATATCCCAGAATATCAAGGCAGAGAATCCCACGTTATCTGCTTTGAACTAAGTTATCTGAGTCCACACTCAGATCATGTGGGATTTTCTGCCTTGATATTCTGAGATAAAAGGCTGTGTGGAAGGGCCCTCAGTTTCCATGTCCGGGGACTGGAACCTGACAATTTACTGACAGACAATTAAAAAGGCGCAAGTTCTTATGATTCGCTTCCAAAAAAACCTGATGTTCATTAAAGTTAATAGGATATGACAGCAAGGACAGCCTTGCATTCAGTCACAATGAGCAGCTCATTGTCACCAAAGTGCTCATCCTAATCTAAATTCTTCCCACTTCCAAATACATAACACGTTTCAGTCATTATTCACAAATGGTGTTCTCATTTGTAATGTCAGCCTTTTTGGAAATGTCTGCTCTGGCCTTTAAGTCCCCTTTAGGAGAGATAAAGCGGGGCATAATAATAATAATAATAATTCAGATAGACAGAATTTTGGAGCACAATACTCCTGACCTCACGATCCTGTTGAAAAACCAAGTATGGATCGTCAATGTTGCAATCCCAGGTGACAGCAGGATTGAAGAGAAACAACTGGAAAAGACGACACGATATGAGAATTTAAAGATCGAACTGCAAAGACTCCGACACAAGCCAGTCAAGGTGATCCCAGTGGTGATCGTCACACTGGATTCAGTGCCTAAAGACCTTGGCTTGCACTTAAACACAGTCAGCGCTGACAAGATTACCATCTGCTAGCTGCAGAAGGCCACCTTACTGGGATCTGCACACATTATTCACCGATACAAGACACAGTCCTAGACACTTGGGAGGTGTCCGACGTGTGATCCAATACAACAGCCAGCAGAGTGATCTTGTCTGCTGTGGACTCATCTTATTGTGTTTCAAATAATAATAATAATAATAATAATAATAATAATAATAATAATAATAATAAGCAGAATTGAAGAGAAACAACTGGACACGATACAAGGATTTAAATACAGAACTGTAAAGACAAGCCAGTCAAAGTGTCCCAGTAGTGATCGGCACACTGGGTGCAGTACCCAAAGACCTTGGCCTGCACTTAAAAACAATTGGTGCTGACAAAATTACAATCTGTCAGCTGCAAAAGGTCACCCTACTTGGATCTGCACACATTATTCATCAATACATCACACAGTCCTAGACACTTGGGACATGTGATTGAAAACAAAAGCCAGCATAGTTACCTTGTTTACTGTGTACTAATCTTGTGTTTCTAATAATAATAATAATAATAATAATAATAATAATAATAATAATAATGGCAGACAGAGAGCCCCTGGTGGCTCTGCGGGTTAAATCTATTGCTATTATCACTTACCTGCCTCTCCTTATATTAAAAACACTATGTAAAAGACTAGGTGGTGCAGTGGGTTAAACCACTGAGCTGCTGAACTTGCTGACCAAAAGGTTGGTGGTTCAAATCCGAGGAGTGGGGTGACCTCCTGCTGTTAGACTGAGCTTCTGCCAACCTAGCAGTTGGAAATACATGCAAATATTAATAGATCAATAGGTACCACTTCAGCGGGAAGATAATGGTTCTCCATACAATCATGCTGGCCACATGACTTTGGCGTGTCTACAGACAACACCAGCTCTTCGGCTTAGAAATGGAGATGAGCGCCAACCCCCAGAGTCGGACACGACTGGACTTAATGTCAGGGGAAAACCTTTAACTTTTTATGGGCAGGCAGAAGAGCAGCCTTTTATTTATGCCTTCTTTTATCACTTCGCTTCCTGATTCCTTTCTTTAGGGAATATGTGTTGTGTATATGCAATTGTCCAAAACAAAGCTGTGTGTGCTTTTAAGCTATTGTGGCTTCATTTCAGCCAGTGCTGTGTCTTTGCTGTAATTATGTACCCTCCATCAAGAAGCAGAACAGAACCCCTAAAGAGCCGATCATTCAGAGGATAAAAAACAAAGGAGATTCCTATGAACTAACTTACCATTTTGTACTACTAAGTAGCCAGTCATAGAATCATAGAGTTGGAAGAGACCACATCGACTATCCAGTCCAACCTCCTGCCATGCAGGAAAAGCACAATCAAAGCACACCCAACAGAGGGGTAGTCAGATAATCACATGTAATACTTAGTCATGCTTTGTTTTATTTACACGTGAACATATAACATTACTGCCAGGCTTGTCCTGGATGTGCTAGCCATCTCAAATGCCCCAGGATTGAACCTGAAATGTCATAGGATGGGACATATTTACTGGTATCGAAGACTAACCTCTTCTCCAGAAAGTAATTGAGATGCTGATTGCCTGTCCTTCTAAAGAATGCAGGAAGTTTATGACAGGTTTAATCTGTATGTTGCTAGACTAGTTCAATTTATAATAGTCCTCATACTTATAGGATATAAGTAAAAAAGGTTGAGGAGGAGACAAAGATATTGGGATAATCTGAAATCTGAAATCAATATTAGTACAATACCTTCCGGTGGCGCAGTGCGTCAAAGCGCTCAGCTGCTAAACTTGCTAACTGAAAGGTCGCAGGTTCGAATCCGGGAAGCGGTGTGAGCTCCCGCTGTTAGTCCTAGCTTCTGTCAACGTAGCAGTTTGAAAACATGCAAATATGAGTAGATCAATACGTACCGCTCCACCGGGAAGGTACAGCACTCCATGCAGTTATGCTGGCCACATGACCTTGGAGGTGTCTATGGGCAATGCCGGCTCTTTGGCTTAGAAATGGGGATGAGCGCCACCCCCAGAATCAGACACAACTAGACTTAATGTCAGGAGGAAAGAGCACAAAAACACTTGCAAAATATTGAAATTGCTTGATTGCTTCATGAGGTAAACATTACAAAACCGATGGCAGGAGGTAGAGATTTCAACACTTGATCTTGAAGCTAGGTTGTCTGTGTTGTGTTTGACATCTTGCTGGATGAAGACATCTGATTTTGTAATAAAAGCCCTTCTGGAGGTGCTAACTGGCACATAGCCTTATTGTAAAAGGAAAAGGACAAGAACTCAATGCTTTTAGTGTACAATGCAGGTGATTTAGCACTTCAGAAAAATATTTCCTGCCAGTCTTCTCAATAGGCAGGTGGATTTGATGAAATACTACTTGAGCTCTTTGACTATACATTGAAAACAGACTTCTGGCTTTTAAAATAAAAAACTATATTCTAGTTGTTGCCATTTTCTTTCATTTGGACGCTTCATGCTTATCTGGAAATAGCATGCTGTCTGGGTTTCATCTAATCTATGAAGCGAGCCTATAAAATGAAAATACAGTGTTCATATTAGAAGTTATTTGCTAAGACTTCTCTTGTTGGCAGTCAGAAATTGGTTGTTTTAATATTTTTACCACAGATCCTTGTGTAGTTAAGTTGATATTATGCCAATCTATCAATTTCTTTCTCTTTTAAAGAACAAACAAGTGTTGTGATTGGTCTTCCCTAGGTTTCTAGGTCCATAAACCTGTTGCATAGACAGCAGTCATAAGGACCAACACATTTTTGTGACTCTGCAACATACTTATGGACCATTTGTTTTCTAAAGTTTTCCTTTGAGACATCTGTCCCATTTTTTCTCACCTTGTATATATTAGGACGTCTTTATCATATCTAAGAGAAATCCTCTCTCTTTTTTTGAAGTTGGACCCATGGCCCAAGTCTTTCTTCTGGAGCAGGAATCAACAAATTCATTTTGTTGTCAGTGTGATAGCCCTTCAATTATCTGAATATGGTAATCACATCACCTCTTAATAGTTTATTTACCAAGCTGAATACATTAAACACCCACGATGTTTGATTATGGCTTTGTCATAGTTTTAATTTGTTTTTGTGTGCCCTCAAATCTCTTTTGTCATACGGCAGCCCTAAGATAAACCTGTCATGGAGTTTTCTTGGCACAGTTTGTTTACAAGTGGGCATTTGAACCTTTGCCTCCAGAGTTGTTGTTCAGTGCTCAAACTACTGTATCATGAGGGCTCTTTCAGTTTTCAAATCTTGTTTGTATTCTTGTAAACATCTGTTTAGCTGTAAGATTGTGCTGAGATGTTGTCAATTGTTCCCTATGGGTTTTAATCCCTTGTGTTTATTGTATTTTAATCTTTTTTTCTATGTATTTTAATATATGTATTTGATAGGAATGTGTTTTTATGTTTGTCTTTTACATAAGGTAAAGATAAAGCTTTCCCCTGACATTAAGTCTAGCCTTGTCAAACTCTGGGAGGTGGTGCTCATCTCCATTTCTAAGATGAAGAGCTGGAGTTGTCCATAGACACCTCCAAGGTCATGTGGCCAGCATGTCTGCATGGAGCGCTGTTACCTTCCCACAGAAGCAGTACCCATTGATCTACTCACATTTTCATGTTTTTGAACTACTCGGATGGCAGAAGTTGGGGCAAACTCACCCCGCTCCTTGGATTCAAACTGCTAGCCTTTCGGTCAGCAAGTTTAGCAGCTCAGCGGTTTAACCTGCTGTGCCACCAGGGTGCCACCAAGTCTTTTACATAGTGATTTATAATTACACTAGAGTCTCGCTTATCCAACCTCTGCTCATTCAACTTTCTGTATTATCCAATGCGACCTGCCTCCTGCCTGGATCCACAGCTGTTTCAATACATTGTGATGTTTTGATGCTAAATTCATAAATACAGTAATTACTACATCACATTAGTGATGTAGTAATCTGCCCCGGAGTGTGGTGGAGGCTCCTTCTTTGGAAGCTTTTAAACAGAGGCTGGATGGCCATCTGTCAGGGGTGATTTGAATGCAATATTCCTGCTTCTTGGCAGGGGGTTGGACTGGATGGCCCATGAGGTCTCTTCCAACTCTTTGATTCTATGATTCTATGATTATTGAACTGCTTTTTCTGTCAATTTGTTGTAAAACTTGATGTTTTGGCTCTTAATTTGTAAAATCATAACGTAGTTTGACGTTGAATAAGCTTTTTCTTAATCCCTCCTTATTATTCAACAGTTTTGCTTATCCAGTGTTCTGCCGGCCCGTTTATGTTGGATAAGCATGACTCTGCTGTATGTGTTTTTAACTATAAGGAGATGTAGGTAAGTAATAATAATAATAATAGATTTCAGGATGGATTTTTGCTCTTGCCATAATGCATAGCAAACTAAAGAAACCTTTCAATGTAAGATGGCATCTAAAAACTTGATATGGTTTCATTGATCATTTATTTCTGCTTCTACAGTCACTTGTTCCCTTTCAGGAGTGGAAAAGAAGACCTTAAAAAGTGCTGTGATCTCTAATCTGTTGCAATATGAGCAGACAGCTGCATATTCCACCATCACATGTTGTTCTGTGCTCGCAGATAACACTCAACAAATAACTGTGATTCAGCAGTTTTTTGATGCTGAGTAATATGAATATTTTCTGCTGTCAGTAGTGTTCAGCAAGAAATACAAGATATTTGTTTCATATTAAATCATGTGCTTCCGAAGCTTCCTTTTTTTTGTCTCCTTTCAAACTTAACTGGTAATTTCCAGAGAGGTCAATAGGGCAAAGTTTTGGGCCCATAAAGGGAAGAACATTTTCAACATGGGTTGAACTTTCTAGCCTTGTTACACAAACAAAGAAAAAAAAACCCTCTTAGACATACTATATCTTCTGCTGATATGTAACACCAACAGTAGGATCCATGTGAATATGTTTTCAAGTCCTTACAATGATTTTCTTACATTTCTGACATCCCTTTCCCTACTTAATTTCAGGTGAATGCAAATGCCTCCCTAACTATGTCCTTAGCGCAGACCTCTTACTGCAAGAGAAAAGGTTATGATCCTCAGAGTCCCTTATGTGCCCATGTGATCTTTTCTGGGTTGGTTGAAAAGGTAAGGCATCATATTTGTTGTATAGACAGCTATGGAAGCTTGGGAATTGTAGTTTTACTGGGTCTTTCTCCTTCTCTGTCAAAGATGCCAGTGCCTCATCAAACTACAATTCCCATAATTCCATAGCATTGATCCATGGCAGTTAAAGCTGTGTCGAGCTACATTAATTCAACTGTAGATCAGGGGTCCTCAAACTAAGGGCCGGATACAGCCCTCCATGGTCATTTACCTGGCCCTCAGTCAGGGTCAACCTAAATCTGAAATGACTTGAAAGCACTCAGTAACAACAACAATCCTATTTCATCAGCCAAAAGTAGATCCACACTTCCAACTGAAATACTAACAAGTATATATTCGTTAAAATTGTTCATCATTTTAATTATTGTATTGTTTTCAAGTGTTTTTGCACTACAAATAAGATATGTGCAGTGTGCATAGGAATTCATTCATTTTTTTTTTCACATTATAATCCAGCCCTCCAACAGTTTGACGGACTGTGACCTGGCCCTCTGTTTAAAAAGTTTGAGGACTCCTGATGTAGATCTACCCTAGGCTTTATTTGGCTGAACAAAGAATTGAACCAGCCTTCTCTTTGAGAGGAACTAAACTACAACTCTCATCATCCCAACACATATGGCCATTACAACCAAAATGGTGTTTTGTATTGTCATAGAAGCAAAGTACTGTAGGCAGCATGCAACTTTTCTAATACTAATAGACACTTAACTTGTAACTTTACACCATTTATTGAAGTTCCAGTTTTAGTTCCCTGGTTGTGTTAGGAAAAAGGCACGAAAATAGTGATAAAATACCTCAAAATAAAAAACCCCCCGGTGTTTGTTATAGACAAAGTTTGGAAGACACTAATAGACATTTACAAACTTCAAGTAAATGTCTATTGGTGTTAGAAAAGTTGCATGCTGCCTTCAGTACTTTGCTTCTATGACTAATTTAGTAATGCTGTACTTCCATTACAGTCAGTATAACTACATCATCACACTCAAGAATGAATCCACTATAAATCTGGTTTATGGCTCCTGCAGAATTCTGGGGTTTGTAGTTTAGTGAGGCTGTTAAAGGCCCCTCCCTAAACTACAAAACCCAGAACTCTGCAGGAGGCAGAAACCGGATTTAAAGTGGATTCATTTTCTAGTGTGATGAGATCCTAGGACAAGTTAATTATGACTAATTACAGTCAGTTTATAATTAAGCCTTTGCTAAACTATAAACATACCTTCCTTGAGTCTGGGCAGGTCATTAAATTTAGAGGAGCTGCATGTGACTCTTTGCTATAATGGCTTATTAAAGCCCTGAGTGGCCTCTTGACAATGATATTTGTGAACCCAGTAGGCAAGGATCTGACTCACACAAGTTTATATCAGGCATGGGCAAACTTGGGCCCTCCAGGTGTTTTGGACTTCAACTCCCACCATTCCTAACAGCCTCAGGCCTCTTCCTAACAGCCTCAGGCCTCTTTGCTAAACTATAAACATACCTTCCTTGAGTCTGGGCAGGTCATTAAATTTAGAGGAGCTGCATGTGACTCTTTGCTATAATGGCTTATTAAAGCCCTGAGTGGCCTCTTGACAATGATATTTGTGAACCCAGTAGGCAAGGATCTGACTCACACAAGTTTATATCAGGCATGGGCAAACTTGGGCCCTCCAGGTGTTTTGGACTTCAACTCCCACCATTCCTAACAGCCTCAGGCCTCTTCCTGAGGCCTGAGGCTGTTAGGAATGGTGGGAGTTGAAGTCCAAAACACCTGGAGGGCCCAAGTTTGCCCATGCCTGAGCTAGAACTACAAGGCTAAAGGAACTTGTGGCTTTCTAACCAGCTAGTGTCTGTTCCTGCCAAATGCCAAAATACATGTTATATAGGGTTATTTCCGGTCTATTTAGACTACATGGCAGATAACCAACTTTGTTTCTTAGGTTCCAAATGGCACAGAAGCAGACTTTGCCAAGACAGCGTTGTTCAGCCGACATCCTGAAATGGCTTCTTGGCCACGAGATCATGACTGGTTCTTTGCAAAACTGAACATCACCAACGTCTGGGTCCTGGACTACTTTGGTGGAATCAAGACTGTGACCCCAGAAGAATATTTTAATGCTGTGCCCTAGTAAGTTGGTCGCAGTTTGGTTACATTACCTTTGGGATTTGGTTTTGCCGCATATTCCTCCCAAAATGGGACTTCATGGCTATGACACTCTTTGGTCAGGCGTAAGGCTTTCACTTTCTGGATATTATTTTCATCAGAACTCCTTTCTCAAGTAAATGGGTCTCATCCTATAGTAATTTATGTGAGAACGGACCTACAAAATTCAGAGGGATTGAGTAGGCACATATGGAATTGTATGGCTGATGTTATGTTTAAAAACATTTCAGAATAGGACTATAGAGTTTGATTTCCAATAGAGTACCACATGGATTATTGTTAGAATTCATAGCACTATTAACATTTTTTTACAAACCCGAAATGGCATGTTTTCCTGTTCTTAATATATAAAAACATATAGTGTTTTCAATGTAGAATAGTGCTTTTAGTGTTCAAAACTGGAAATAATGTAATTACCTGTATATATGCAAGTATAAACCAACCAGAATATAAACTGAGGCACCTACTTTTACTACAAAAAACTGGGAAAATGTAATTACCTGTATATATGCAAGTATAAACCAACCAGAATATAAGCTGAGGCACCTACTTTTACTACAAAAAACTGGGAAAATGTATTGATTTGAGTATAAGCCAAGGGTGGGAATTACAGCTGCTACTGGTAAATTTTAAAATAAAATAGATACCAATAAAGTTACATTAATTGAGGCATCAGTAGGTTAAATGCTTTTGAATATTTATATAAAACTGTAATTTAAGATAAGACTGCCCAACTTTGATTAAACTATTGATTAAACTATCTTTCCAATAATAAAGAGAGTAAAATAATACATGTAATAATAATAATAATAATAATAATAATAATAATAATAATAAAAAAAAATAGAGTAAATGTGCTAATAATAATAGAGGGAAATAATTAATGTAATAATAACAATAAATAGAATAAAATAATAAATATAATAATAGAGTAAAATAATGTAAATATAATAGTAATAATAATATCAATAATAAATAATACATGTAATAATAAATAGAATAAAACAATAAATGTAATTATAATAAAATAGATTAAAATAATGTAATAATAATAAATAGAATAAAATAATACATGTGATAATAATAACCATAGAGTAAAATAATAAATAATCTTGACTCGAGTATAAGCTGAGGGTGGCTTTTTCAGGCTTAAAAAAGGGCCGAAAAACACGGCTTATACTTGAGTAGTGTGTTTTACGGTGCAGGTTTCCACCCAGTGTGCTCACAACTGATCATATCATAGGCAGATAGCAGAAAAGGAAAGGAAAGGGGGAGCAGGCACAATAAGGGGCAACTATGCACTATTTTCAAAATATATAAGTTAGTTTCATTCCAACTTCAGTCTCACAACCCTATTTTGGCCATGTGAAATCCCCATCCCCTCTATAAAGCCAGCTTCCTCTCACTTGGGAGAGAGATCACTTTATCTTCATGGAGCCCTAAATAAGCAAGCAAAACCAAGCTGCTTCCTTTCATTGAAATAAGTGGGATTTATAAGAGTACAACTTTGGCTGGATTGATGCCCTTGTCAGGCTATTTTTCTATCTTGTCTTCTCTACTATCTGACCCACAAATAATTACTCTCATTAGTCTTTCTCAGTTTGCTATTAGTGATCCTTTTAATCTGAAATACAAGAAACTTAACTGGCACATCCTTCATTCAAGGCCTGTGCTTTTCCACTGAGGTATAGCTTTTACTGGGCTTTGGAAAGGTTTCTTCTTTTGGATTACAACTCCCAGAATCCACCAGATAACTTTGTCATTGTAATAAAAAAAAAGAAAAGAAATTTGTCCAAACTCTGGGCCTTTCCTCTCCTGTGAATAGACACTTATAGAAAATGGAATCCTGATATTTAGACTATCGTACATAATGAAATATCTATTGGCAGTTCGAAGCCTGGGTCAGGGTGAGCACCCAATCTGTTAGCCCAGCTCACTGTCCACCTAAGCAGTTCAAAAACAGCTGTGAGTAAAGAAATTAGGCACAGCTTAAGTGGGTATTGTATGGTACTATAAAAGGAAATACCAGAAAAATGCCAGCAATCAAAGGAGGAAGTTTGGAAGGAAGGGTCTTCGTCATAGGAGGAAGGGTCTTCGTCATAGAGGATGGAGCAACAACACAACCCCCCCCCCCGTGGCCGGAATCGAGCACAACCTCCAGGACACTGAAGTTGGTGCCGACAATACCTCTGTCTGTTGTTTGTTGTCTGTTTAATGGCATTGAATGTTTGCTGTGTATGTGTTCTTTGATCTGCCCAGAGTCCTCTATGGGGTGGGAAGGGCAAAATAGAAATGTTGTAAATCAATAATAATAAATATTCTTCTTTCTCCTTCTTTTGTAGGCAGTGAAGATTTTTTTTGAATGAAATCAAATACCTTCTCTTTCATAATTCACTTTTATAACATGAAAAACAAAAAACCTGAATACGTCCGGAATTGCTAAAATCCTAATGGACTGCTTGTGTTGTGTATATTTCATATAAAATATCAGGAATTTATACGAAGAAAATGTAATTCGGTGTTTTGGATGCAAATATGCACACCCAGCATCCATGATTTTGCTTTTACACTTGGATTTTGAATTTGCACTAACCTTCTGAGCAAACGCCTACAGAGGAAAATCCATCTCATCATCACTAAAATGGAGACAGGGGAACAAAAGCATAATGAGGAAAAGAAAAGAGGAAGAACCCAATACCAACTGCTAAAGAATGTAAAGAAACACCTTGGGGTGTTCAATTATGTTGTATACCTTGGTCTTGATGCATTGGTTTATATCTATCACCTTGGTCCTGCTCGTGTGTTCAGTGGTTTCTGTGCATAAAACTGATCCTGTTGCCAAACTGTTCTTTCAGGCAGAGCATGGACAAAGTTACCTTTGGGAACGACAGCTCCTGGAATCTAATCACCTGCCTTCCCAGGAAAGGGTAGGGTTTCCTGTGAGAGGTAGTCCAAAAATGAACTTAATTTAGATAGATTGTCTGGATGCACAGTGTCCATATGGAAAACATGAGGAGAAACTAGGGTCCATTAGCCATTTGGTGAAACCGCTTCCAGCTTCATAGATAGCAGTGGAGTCATAGTATGCCCTTAACAACTCATGGATGTGTGAGCACCAAGCTCTTTGTGGCCATGGCTTATATCCTCTTAAGACAGGGGTCCTCAAGCTTTTTAAGCCAAGGCCATTTCAGGCTGTTGAGGGCCCGGACTATAGTTTGAAAAGAACACCAACAAATTCCTGTGCACACTGAACAAATCTTATTTGTAGTGCAAAAAACTATGAAAGAACAATACAATATTTAAAATGAAGAACCAACATAAACCAGTACAGTAGAGTCTCGCTTATCCAACCTTCACTCATCTAACGTTCTGTATTATCCAACGCAGTCTACCTCCTGCTTGGATCCACAGCTGTTTCAATACATTGCAATATTTTGGTGCTAAATTCATAAATACAGTAATTACTACAGAACGTTAACATGTATTGAACTGCTTTTTCTGTCGATTTGTTGAAAAACATGATGTTTTGGTGCTTAATTTGTAAAATCATAATGTACTTTGACATTTAATAGGCCTTTCCTTAATTCCTCCAACATTTTCGCCTATCCAACGTTCTGCCGGCCTGTTTATATTGGATGAGCGAGATTCTACTGTATTTCAATGGGAAGTGTGGTCCTGCTTTTGGCTGGTGAGATAGTCAATTAGGATTGTAGTTATTGTTGTGTGCCTTCAAGTTGTTTCAGAATTAAGGTGATCCTAAAGTTTAGCGCAGGGGTGTACTTAAGCACACAGAACTATTACAATAATTTTTGCTTTTATACAACATGAGAAAACTGTCAGGAAAAGTCAGCGCACTTCATGAAGCACAATGCTAGCTTCTTTTCCGGTTTGCACAGGAAACTCCAAAAGTGACACTCTAACTCAGGGGTCCTCAAACTTTTTAAACAGAGGGCCATGTCGCAGTCCCTCAAACTGTTGGAGGGCCGGATTATAATTTTTAAAAAACATGAATGAATTCCTATGCACACTGCACATATCTTATTTGTAGTGCAAAAAACACTTCAAAACAATACAAAAATTGAAATGAACAATTTTAACAAATATAAATTTATTAGTATTTCAGTGGGAAGCGTGGGCCTGCTTTTGGTTGACGAGATAAGGTTGTTGTTGTTGTTGTTGTTGTTGTGTACTTTCAAGTTGTTACAGACTTAGGTTGACCCTGAGCGAGGGCTGGGTAAATGACCTTGGAGGGTCGCATCTGGCCCCCAGGCCTTAGTTTGAGGACCCCTGCTCTAACTAGTTCTACACATCTCTATTGTTTTAATCCATTCATTTCTGAAACCATACAGTTTGAACTATAAGCAATTTTCATACCAGGAAACATTACATACTGATAAAAACACCTGTGTGCCTTATTACCGCTTCTGTCGCAGAATTTCAAAACTGACCTTGAACATGACGTCAATTCTATTTTGGATCTTTTTTTCAATATAAACATTAAATTGTCAATATTGTAACCAGAGTCTGAAACTAAAAGTGGAATTATATACAAACACAGCGTTAGGAGGACTCTAATTAGCAGTAACTGCAATTATTGCCAAGGTTGAGCATTACTTGTCTGGAATTCTGAAATCCGAAATTGTCGTCCTGATGGCTGAGAGTGGCACCTTTGCTTTCCTATACTTCAGTGTATACAACCTTTGTTTATTGCCCAAAGTTAATTTAAGATGTTGTATAAAATTGCTTTCAGGCTATGTGTATAACATGTAAATGAAGCAAATTGATTTTATGTTTAGACTTGGGTTCGGAGTTCAATTCCATTCTAGCCACAACAGACGGGATTGCACTGCTTCAGACAGATAGCAGAGCAGAAATTCTCCCATGATGTTCATATTTTTGAAGTACATTAAATATAAATCATATATGCTTATAAGGTCTCATAGAAGTAATCGTAGATTCATATGAAAGATCTTCCTAGTGACATAAGGAGGCTCGTGAACTATCATTAACTGTAAGAATATGTTCTAAAAAGTTCCATGTAATCAATAATTAGTATTGATTATGAAACTCTAATGACTGGCCAACGGACCAGGCAGGGGAGTGCAGGGGCATTCCTATTGAAAAGTAAATCCATTGAGTTCTGTTGGATTAGCTATTAATTAAATATTGGTAAAGTTTCAGCCTTGGCTGAATTTTATGTGAATCAGGTCACGTAAAGTCAGGCCTCAACTCTGATTTGTCTTACTTAAAAACAGTGTTGTCTCCTAGTGAATGCATTATTGATGATAGAGAAATGCTTATCTGCTGTTTGAAATGATTCTCACTGAACCAATGGCAATGTGAACCCCACCAAGCACTTGTCACTTAATTCCAGGGATTGGCTGTATTTGCACTCAGATTGTTCATTGTTATTAATAGAGAAGAATTAGAAATGTTTAGTGTGTTCAGCTTGCCTTTGTGTCACTGTGGCTAAACATGTTACGTCTCAGACATCTCAATCTGAGATGTAGCATGTCTGGTAGCAAATCTTATACATTTGTGGAACCAGTTTTTTCTACCTCTGTAGATTACCAAAATGACTTATATATTTTTATCTTGATATAATTAGATGATTATATTTGCTTGTTGAAACTCTAACTTCCATAATAGATTTTTACTTATACAGAAATAAACTATTCTTGAAATTAAGTAGCTATCCTGTCTCATTATCCATACTGTCTTCCATGTTAGGGCTGCTATTTTGACGTACTGTTCTCTCTGTTATGCAAAGCCACATGGGGCCATAGAGTCATCCAACTTGGTGTGTTGTATGATACAACGGAAAAAACCAAAGCAAAGTTTTGGAGCCAGCCTGGATGTAGCTTTTGAACCAACACTTCAGACTGTTCAAAACTTAAGTTTATAAACTGCATAAACTTCCTTTGCTTGAACATTTTTGTGTAAGTTTGGTATTTATTTATTGTGCCAGAAGCGAATTGAGGGTACAGCTGTAATGTATTTAAAAACTCAAACAAAGTGAAAAACTTGACATTGTACTAAATATTCTTTGACCAGTAGCTGGCTACTTGGGGTGCCTCTGGTGTTGCTTGAAGAAGGTCCTCTATTGTGCATGTGGCAGGACTCAGGGTGCATTGCACTAGGTGGTCTATGGTTTGCTCTTCTCCACACTCGCATATTGTGGATTCCACTTTGTAGCCCCATTTCTTAAGGTTGGCTCTGCATCTCATGGTGCCCGAGCACAGTCTGTTCAGCGTCTTCCAAGTAGTCCAGTCTTTAGTGTGCCCAGGGGGAGTCTCATTCAGTATTGGCCATTGATTGAGGTTCCAGGCTGTTGCCTGCCACTTTTGGATTCTCACTTGTTGGGTGTTCCTGTGAGTATCTCTGTAGGTCTTAGAAAATTATTTCTTGATTTAAGGCATTGGCGTGCTGGCTGATATCCAAACGGCGTGGGTTGGAGGTGTCACTGTCTTGGTCTTTTCATTATTGGCTGCTACTTTCCGGCGGATGTGAAGTGGTGCAATACCGGCTAAACGGAATAATTTTTCCAGTGGTGTGGGGTGTAGACATCCATGGTAGAGTGGATAGACCGCGAATTACAAGCAGAAACAGAATAAACAGAGCTAACTTCCCCTGTAAGGACATCAACGAGTTTTACTAATTTCCCTTTCTCAGGCTTGCAGATCAGCTATGAAAGGTAAAGGTTTCCCCTGACATTAAGTCTAGTCGTGTCTGACTTGGGGGTGGTGCTCACCTCCATTTCTAAGCTGAAGAGCTGGCGCCCATAGATATTTCCAAGGTCATGTGGCTGGCATGACTGTATGGAGCACCGTTATCTTCCCACCAATGCTGTACCCATTGATCTACTCACATTTGCATGTTTTTGAACTGCTAGGCTGGCAGAAGTTAGCCCTAACGGTGGGAGCTCACCCCGCTCCCTGGGTTCGAACCGCCAGCCTTTTGGTCAGCAAGTTCAGCAGCTCAGCAGTTTAACCTGCTGCACTGCTACGGGGCCATGATTAGTGAATGAAAGTGTTAATAGCGGAGCTGGTTGCAAAAAGGCAGGGCATCAATCAAATAAAAGAAAGGCAGAAAATTGGGTGAGTGGCTGCATTCTTTGTTCCCTGTCCAGGAAGTCATTTGTGATCAAAACGATCTTGACAGATTAGAGAGATGGGCCAAAACTAACAAAATGAAGTTCAACAGTGACAAATGCAAGATACTCCACTTTGGCAGAAAAAATGAAATGCAAAGATACAGAATGGGGGACAATGCCTGGCTCGAGAGCAGTACGTGTGAAAAAGATCTTGGAGTCCTCGTGGACAACAAGTTAAACAGGAGCCAACAATGTGATGTGGCGGCAAAAAAAGCCAATGGGATTTTGGCCTGCATCAATAGGAGCATAGTGTCTAGATCTAGGGAAGTAATGCTACCCCTCTATTCTGCTTTGGTTAGACCACATCTGGAATATTGTGTCCAATTCTGGGCACCACAATTGAAGAGAGATATTGACAAGCTGGAATGTGTCCAGAGGAGGGCGACTAAAATGATCAAGGGTCTGGAGAACAAGCCCTATGAGGAGCGGCTTAAGGAGCTGGGCATGTTTAGCCTGAAGAAGAGAAGGCTGAGGGGAGACATGATAGCCATGTATAAAT